TCTATTGTGAAATAAAGTAACACCCGTCAATAAAAGTATTTTGATTTGACTTATTGTTTTTATGTGTGATTTGTTAGTATGGAAAAGAAGCGAAAAATTGACAGTGAATGCAGAACGTTCCAAGAAAAATGGAACTTTCAGTATTTTGTGATTGAGTCCAGTAATAAGGCGCTATGTTTAATTTGTAATGAAACCAAAGCTGTTCTCAAAGATTATAACATTAAACGACACTATGAATCGAAACATCTTCAAAGTTACTCCAAGTATACACTAAATAAACTTAGATACTCAAGTTAAGTTTTCTTTGTCATCATTGATTGATTTTGGAATCATTTTATAGTTATTCCAGTTTGCTCAGTTATCAATTGTAAAGAATTTTGATCGTTAAATCACTCCATTTTTTCGAAAGTTTCTGACTTACTATGCAATGATAGTAAATTAAGAAGTCATCTAATCATTTTATGATATTCACTGCGTTTCTCAAAATAAAATAACATTTTCCAAATTTGATGAATGACGTTCCACTAAATATAATCACTTGTGACAGGTTGAAAAAATTGGGGGAATGGGCAAATTGAATCTATACTTTTCAGAAGATATGAAACAAGACTAGAAATTAATGAATAATAGAAAAGAAATAGAATAAATGAATGACTAGATATATGTTCCTTGTTTTACCAACACAATTTAAGCTGGAACATAATTGATATGAAGCTCCTGATAAGACATTTATAACACTCAAAATATGTGTGCATAGTGACAACCGTTACCCTGACAACCCACGTTTTGTTTAGATATGCGCCCCTTAAACCAGTAGGTACTCAACCCATGCATATGAGGGACGATAATGTAGCTGAAAATATACAAAAACAAACTCGGTTCATTTCTTTCTACTTCGACAGCACTAATCTCACGTTACTCCATGATTTTGTCGAGTGGACAAAGTAATTATTTCTTTTGGTGGTTTGTGAGCGTTTAGTAGTTCGTTTGGTTGATAATTTTTATGTTCATTTTTGTGGTGAGTGGTTTTCTATGGCACATTTTTTTATTGGCGATCTATAAATTTGCAGTGTGACACAATTTTCCTGAACAATAACCTGTTTCTTTTCAATTTGATGAGATTTAGAAGTCTTTAGTATTAGTAAAGTTATATGAGAGTCATATAGTCATATCAATCAATCAATCAAAATTTGCTTTATCAATCATCAAAGAATAACACCTTGTTGGCAAAGCCAGTATTTATAAATGAAAATTAAATTGAATTACCTAATAACATTTGATTAATGTATAAAAATAGTCACTACCAAATAAAGTTGAATTGAATAAAAACAATCAGTCACTTATTTGAAAGTTAAAATATAACAAACAATGGAAGCTATAGTGTCTAGTTTTGCTCCACTTTTCATTCTATTCTATCCACATAATATTCTTCCAAACTTCAACAGGTTCTGTCGGAAAGAACTCTTTTTGCCACTTTGCACTACAGTGCATTTCTTAATTGTCCCCTCCCTTTTATTCTTTGAACGGGCCAACTCAAAAAATTGAAATTTGAGATAATGAAATTAATGCATGAATAATTTATTTTGAAGTGAAATTGACAAATGAAACTTTCAAGATGGCAACTGGGCGCCACCTGCGAAAAAAATTAAATGGAAAGGGGGGTCTTGTAACACATCATTTTGAAGCTCCTGATGAATACTTCACAACCCTAGAATATGAAGTCAATATCTTCACCTACTATAAAATGGCGGAACATTTAATGATTTCCTGAAGACAAACACATTAATAACGATATTTCTAGAAATATTCCTTTTTATCTGCCATATGGCAATTCAAACAACCAGATAAGGTTTGTTGAGTTAGTTTCTGTTTGCCGTTATTGGAATGACACCAACCCTCATGTTTTCCGGGAAATACATAACCAATATCCGGAAAAAATTAACGTTTGGGCAGGAATATTGGGAAACCATATTGTAGGACCTTTATTTATTGATCAAAATTTAACAGGGGAACAGTATTTGAATATGCTGGAAACTACTGTTGACTCTCTCATCACTGACATCTTTGAAGCGAATCCTAATGAATTCGATATGGATATTGTAATGAAACAAGATGAAGCACCACCACATTACTCGAGGCAAGTGAAAATGTTTGGATACTACTTTTCCCGGTCGTTGGATTGGCCTTCGAGGTCCTATAGAATGGCCAGCCCACTCGCCAGATTTGACACCTTTGGACTTTTTTTACTATTCGAAGTTCTTCTTCTTCTTCTTCTTCTTATGGCTCTGCCTTTTCGGCAATTTGCCAGATATCTACTCTCTGTAATGAAATTTTGTTTGTGTTAATTTATGAGACATGCTGTTTCAAATATAAATACGAGTACAAGGTGTTTATTAAACATGCGACCAAAAAATTAAGGCACTATTCCTTGGACTAGGACTCTAAGAATATTTTGTCCTTCTATGATTTTTGATAGGGCGCTTTGTTTCGAAGATACGGGGCGAAAAATAATTTCAATAATAACAATTTTGGTAATTTCAAAATTATCAACGTACCAACTTACCAAGTAATAAAAAATCTGCTTCTGTTCTTTACACCTATTTCGTAGGTCTGCAAATTGATGGTAGTGCTCAATATACCCTGTTCTTTTGCATCTTTTATAATTTTTTTTTTCTAATAATAATTTTCTCAGTTTGAAATTATACCACACGGAAAAATTAGATATTTTATATCTTTTAAATGGTACATACAAGTCAACAGCGGTGAAACTCACTCCGAATAGATTGTCAAAAGCTTAATCAATAATGTACTTTCA